CTGTTTATATATAAATATGAGGGTGAGAGCAAAGTTAACCTCAGACTGTGACCTGTCTTCTCCCTGAGAACACATGGGAAAATTAGAACTCATTATTGTAAAACATGATTTCGTTAGTTTGAGCCCTTCTTTTTAGAGCTACACAAAAGTGTTTGCCTTTCTTCAATCTGCTTTTGAAAGGCCTTCCTAAATTATTTGAAGCTGTAGTCCATGTAAATATCAAAACAGAAGGCACAAGAAATGTAGAAAATTACAAAGACATAATATTTGCAACCAGATAGATGCCACTTTACATAAACAGAAGGAGAAAACTACATGGCCAGGGAGCAAAAGTGGGGGAAAAACCAAAAGCCTGTTAAGAGATAAATCTAAAAACATATTTGTATGGAAAATCATTTCAAACCAGCAGGGCCAAAACCACTGTAGAAGTAGAAAAGGCCACTTGGGATATCTACAAATATTTCTTTAAAAGCAACATCTCTGGCTGTCATTACTCAACCTCACATAGAAATGAAATTGTGCAGAATTCATCAGAACAACCTGAAGAATTCCAGCAAACAGGTAAAACATTCACTGCTGGTCTACAATCAGTGCCAAGAGCATTCATCTCAACCTGTGATCTCTCAAATTCTCCATCAGAATCATGGAATTGTTTAGATTAGAAAAGACCTTTAAGATCATCAAATGTAACTGTCAACCTGTTACCAAGCCACACCACTAAGCCCATCCTACTGTTCCAAAGCACAGTACACATGCCTTTTAAATACACCTTCAATGGTGACTCAACCTCTTCCCTAGGCATCTTACTCCAATGCTTGATAACCCCTTTGGATATTAGGAAAAATTTCTTCACCAATCTAAACCTCCCTTGAAGCAATTTAAGCGATTTCTTCTCATCCTACAGCTTGAAGGGAAGCCCTAGGGAAGAGACCAAGCCCATCCTACTGTCCAGTACAGCCTCCTTTCAGGGAGTTGCAGAGAGCAATAAGGTCTTCCCCAGGCCTCCTTTCCTCCAGGCTACAGACCCCCAGTTCCCTCAGCTGCTCCTCAGAAGGCTTTTGCTCCTGACCTTCACCAGCTCTGTTGCCCTTCATCGAACACACTCTGGCACCTCAGTGTCTTTCTTGCACTGAGGTGCCCAGAACTGGACACTGCATGGATTTCCATCATCTCCACTGAGCGAGCAGAATGAAGGCCCTCACTAGCACACCAACAGTCCAACACTGGCATGCTGACCCCAGGCTTATTTCCAGTGAAACTGGTTTTATCCCTTTCCCACTTTAAGCCTACTTTAAAGCCCCCTCAGTAAGCTCTGCTAACTCTTGTGTGCAGATCTCTCTTCCCCTGTGAGACAAGTGTTCACCATCTGCTGCCAGCAGGCCAGGTGACCTGTAAGCCATCCCACACTCTGCAAACAGGGCAAGACAGGGGTTTTACAGCACTTACCTTATAATATAGCCAACAAGATGATCCGTGTGGGGAAGCACAAAGAGTGATTTTCCAGAAAGGTCACAAGCATTACACAAAGCTGCAGCCCTCTCTGATGCAATAACATCTTCCCCTAGAGAAGTCAAGGAAAACACAAGTAAGAGGTATGTGGTGCTGCAATGTCAAACCAGTTCTAAAAGCTTAAAGATCAGGTTATGAAACTTAGGTAGACCAAAAGGTCTAAACAGTATCGAAAAATCTAATAGAGATAAAACCAACAGCACATTCTTTCTTATTTCTTTCAGAGTACTATGTGCTTCATCCAGCAGAACACATGCAGAAACTTTCTAGCAGTTTTTAGCAAAAAATTACGAGTCTGATGTTTTTCATCTCTCACAGAATTAAATGTCCCATGTCTTGGGAAATACAATAGCATCCAGGAAAGACAAACACATACAGCAGGTGGAGCAAAAAACAAAACATGGTTTGCCAGACACTAGAAAGCACACAGTAGCTCTACAGAAATGTAAAGTTAAAAGTGTATCACATTTCACAGTTCCATGTGGCTCCAAAATTTTATCAATTAAAACCAAGTTAAGACAAAAGACCTCTGTAGGTACTAAACACTCTTCCTCTAAGTTCTCAATGCTTTTACTGCTTTTCCTGATCCCAAGCAATGTTAAAAATTTGCTTGCTTGTAAGAAGGCAGGTCAAATGTATTACCATATAAGCCATCTCTGATACTGTGTACCACAAAACGCACTTGGACTTAAGAGGAAGAAGTTAGGGATAAAAGTATCAAATGTTTAGGGTCAACTGTCCTGAATGCCCTTTTTATCTTACACCTTGCTGCAGTCACAGTGCATTTCATGAATGTAGATGACATCAGATGAAGAACCACAGATTATGTGACAAACCAAAGTCAGCCCAGTCCACTGCGCCTTCTGAAAAATGAGAACTCCACAACTGTGCACAGAGTTTTCAAGTACCTGGAGGCAATGGTGTTTTTTTCTGAATCAAAACCACAGCAACTTTGGTATTTCTTCCCTGTAAACTTTGCCTAAAATAAAGACAACATAGCACAGTGTCAAGGTTTCACTTCTTATTGCTGAATAATCAGGAAAAAAATATTTCAATCTAGATGGAAGTGCTTGAAGAATGCTACAAAGGTGAAAAAGCCAAACAACACAATATGCTCCATCATTCAGAAAATGCTGTCTTCCTTCTTTTGGGACAGAACAAATGTGTTGAGTTTAGCAAGAAAAATTTCAGGGGCTGTTTTTACTGAAGTAAAATAAGTAATGGTTTTACTAATAAACCATTAAAAAGTTCTTTATTTTGAGTTGTATATTAAAAAGCAAAGCTCAAGTTCCCCTTAATTTATGTTTAAGAAAAAAAAAGTGTATGTTCTAGAATGCAAAGAGATTCTGCAATTCACACTTACATTAGTTTGCAGTACATAATGAAGCAAGTGAAAATATCTACCTGACAATTTCAACTCGAGTAGCACACTCCAACTGTTTTTCCTTCCACTGTGGCTCATCCCAGTCCAGTTCATAGAACACCACCACAAGAGCTGGAACCAAATTCAGGTGCTTGTTCATCCAACCAGTCTTCAGGATTCCTTTTGGAATATACCACTCATAGGATGTCCTCTGAAAACAGAGAATATTGAAGCAAGCTACAAAACCCATTTTCAAACATTTATAGCAGGACAAAGGGCATATCCTCGAAATTCCTGCCACTTATTATGTTTGTCATCTTGCCTTTAACATTGTTCCCCTCAAGATTTTGCTTTCTATTAACCATATCCCTCAGTAGCTCAGGCATCAGGGCCTGGTGCCTGAGATATTAGCAGCAAAGAACAACAGATTCCAGGGAGGCTGGAGAAGAGGGTCAAGTTTAGGAGCAAGTCTCACACACTGCCATGTATGAGAATATAGGCTAGTATGAAATACTAGGCTCAATTGAAAACAGAGCTCTCAAAACAGTGCAAGGACACACCAGTTTATAGTCCTTGTCTTTACCAGCATCATGGAATTATGTAGTTTTGTAACAGTTAAACTCATTGACGTTGCAAAGCAGAAAGAATAGCAGAGATATTCCTTCTGCTGTTTCACTCAGTTAAAGTGAAATGTTTTTTTACTAAATTTTAGAGGTTAGGTTAGGGTTTTTTTCAGAATACATTGTCTAGTTTCTCCAGAGTTAAATTTCGGGTTCATCAAAGCTCAAACTTTACAAAGCACCTTAATGCTATGTACAGGAGTAGCAAGTACTTTAAAAAGTACTTTTAAAACCATGCGGGCTTTCTCTGCTTCTGGCTCATGAGCTAAGGCACCCCTGGGCTTCCCACAGCGCTCCATCACAACGCCCTCGGCTTCCCCTTCGCCCTCACAATTCCCTGCCTTGAAGCTCCCACACTTCCCTCCAACATCGGGGGCAGAGGCAGCCGAGGGCCGGCAGAGCGCG